ATTTCAGACTTTGCATTTGTATACATTACTATGGCCGCGTTTATTTCTTGAGCATTTCAGTTGTTTCTGTTACGCCATTGTGCGCGGTTCGCTCGATAGGTTTCAAAAGGCGGTTCAATCTTATCTGCCAACTTGCTTTTTTCCTTCTACACGCCTAAGTGTCGCGTTTGCTATGTAAATTTAATTAATTATACGTACAAAAAACATTTCGCATATTGAGTGTTCGCATAATTAACGCGTCTAATAAGTTTTGTTAACGCAATCATTTTGTCTGCTTATTTGTTGTCTGTGAAGTTTTGTGGAAAACTCTGTGAAAATTACTACTGATTTTGAAAAATCGCAATGAGTTGGTTAGTCACGGTTGGACCGGCAGTTGCCATCACACTGATCGCTGTGTTGGTGTCTAAAGTGGGTTGGCGTTGGTTTTACATTGCAGCTGTAACATCCAAGCGTGATTTGACGTAAGTCTTTCCTTTAATATGCAAGTAAATATGTACGTTTCTATACATGCATACATTTATACATATACTGGCACATGCATTGCACTTGCGCCGAAGTCGAAAAAGAGATACATATAGTGCTCGTTATGTTGCATCTTAAAGCCTCAGCATAAGAAAAGTCAGCAAATATGAATGACTTAAAATCATAAAAGATGCGCCTGAAGAGGCATTTTATCAAAATTTAAGTAATTTTCGGATGTAAAAACCTATGCTGTGTTGTTTATGAATTACGGAGAAGTAAAGTTTTTCATTGATCCTCTTCGGTTCATTTGCAGAACATCCAGAGTCAGATGTACAAGGTGGCGCAAAATTAATCACCCGTCTTCTTAATTACTTCTTTCTTTAGGGCTACTTGAAGTCTTGGTTTTATGCCAACAAACCTGCGATTGTCAGCCCTTAAGGGGAATATTCGACAGGAAAGCGAACAGTTATCACCGAAAATCTTGCGGAAAGTCATGGAAAATGCAATAAAAAGGGCACAAATGTTTATAACAACTGGCGGCAGCCACTTATCGGATACCATCTTTTTCACTTCAACAGAAAAACTTGCAAAGGTCCAAATAACGTTTTCCATCACTCAAAATCATTTAGTTTTTCTTTTTATTTAGTAAGAAGTAGTGTTGGACAGTATCGATACCAAAAGTACTCCGAACTCGATTTTCAAAAGGATCGACAGCACTCGATTTTGAAGAGTATCGATACTGAGTACTCCAAAGTACTCAGTACTCGCAAAAGAACTCGAAAGCACTCAGAACCGAAAAGAACTCGAAAGTACTCAGAACTTAAAAGAACTCGAAAGTACTCAGTACTCAAAAATTCTCTGTTCCAGTCATCACTTAGATACATGTACTTAGGATACTTAAAAGTACTGAACAGTTACTTAAAAATACTGAGTTTTATTTACATTTACCGGTATTTAGAAATGGTTGTACTCAATTTTATGTTTAAATAGTTTTCAAGTAGCCATTCATTTGACGTAATTTCGGATTAATATATTAATTTGTGTAAAAGTGCTGACAGCTTGTGAAATTTCTACACTCGTAATTGAAATGTTACCAACAAGTGTATATTTAAAGAAAGTAATCAGTACTCTGAAAAATACCCGATCCTTAAAAGGATCGATACCAAAGAACTCGATCCTCAAAAGTACTCGATACTTCCCAACACTAGTAAAAAGGTTATCCAAAAACGAAATTGGATGCTTAATTTTGCGCCTCCTTGTATAAATACGGAGTTCTGTAACTCAGAGTTTATCTTAAATTTTCCTAAATCAGACAATGTCTTGCAGTACTAAAAACTGGAAAAGTGTTAAGTACATAACTCGAGGGCTTTGTGAATTTATTAGGCATATTTTTCCGTTTTTTTAGCATTTGCTTTAAATATTTGTTTACGTTTATAGTTCAAAATTTACTTTTCTGAATATAAAATTTAAAATGCATACAGCGACGAACAAAATTATTGGAGCAGTGAATTTTTCACAATATAAGAAAAGGTTTTCATTCTAATTTATTTATTTATTTTTTTTTTTTTTTATAAAAATATAGTTCATTCCACACCAATAAACATAAAACTAAAATCTTTAAACTTTTGTGCAAAGCTTAGGAAAATATAATACATTTTCATACTAATTTACAACTTTCTATTCAGATACTAAAAAAATTGCCATAAATCAAAGCGATTTTCTAGCAACTTCAAACCAGGACTTTGTTACACTTAAATTGAATAGGCTATGAAACTGCACACTTAGAATTTTTCCGAAAATTCTGAATAGAAAGTTGCAAATTAGTATGCAAATTTATTGTATTTTCCTGAGTTTTGCATAAAGTTTAGAGATTTTATTTTTATGTTTTTTGGTGTAGTATTTTCATAAAAAATTATCGAAAATAAATTAGAATAAAGTATATGTATGTATTGTGAAAAATTCACTGTGCCAATACTTTCGTTTGTCACTGTATATGAGAACTAACAACACACAATGTAACAATATCACACATGCATAGTTTATTTCTTTACTGAAATGAAATATTGTCCTAATAAAATAACTGTTTTCCCCAAGAGCAAGCAAAAACGAAATCGAACATGTGAACTTAGCGCACAAAAAATGAAGCACTCGCCTCAATTGCAGTTGTGCTTGATAACATAGGCTCATGGTAGGTCAAAATTACCCAAAAATTGTTTACATTTGTAAAGTAAAGTTGTTTTTTTTTTATATTTTGCTTCAAAAGCCATTGTAGAATCTTAACAGAGTGTTTAAGATAAGTCCTGGACAGATTTTTTTTTTAATTGGGTCAATTTGACCCAATTTGTGAGAAGGGGTTAAATTCGTTTCGTTGGACGCACCACCAGTTGAAGAGACTTTCAGTTATATATATTCTTTTTTATTGCGCTGCAAAAATAATATTTTTTTTTTTACCAGTGCATCGAGGCTGCTAATGTCGTACATACATAGATTTGTATCCTCATGACTTTCATCTTCACTTGAAAAATCCATCATCATGGCAAGATCGCTCTTTACACACCGCTTACTAACCTAAACAGATATTTCAGGTTTTTTATAAAGCTTTTTCCAAAGAATTCTTCACCCTCGTTCTTTTGGCTGTTTCAGAATTTGTAGAACCTCTAACGTCATCGGTGTTTTTCGATTTTAGTTTTTGTAATTCATTTTTAATTCATTCTTCTGTGACTGGTTTGTAAAATTTGTTCTTATAACGAGGGTCTAAATAGGCGGATATGGCAAAAAATTGTTATTTTCTATAGACGAAAATGTCGAAGAAAATTCTGTTTTCAAAGTCGTTTCTGCCAGCCGAATCAGATCACAATCATTGATTTTGTTAAAAAGTCACCTAGTTTGAATGCTTAAACCTAGTTTGAAACCTAGCTCAAACCTATTTTGAATGCTTATAGCATTTGAATTAATGCAATCACGGCTGATATGTCACAAAGCTGCTTGGTTACCCTGTGGCTTCTTCCAAAGGATTTAATAGCTCAACACAAGATTCCTTTAGCAAAATTGGGTCCAAGTCTCTGTCGTTAATGTAAAGACTCAACGCATGCACCTATGTATGTTTGTATGCAAGTGGGCATTTATTTATTTGTATGTGAGAGATGCTGTTGTTGATTTTTTAATTAGCGGTTACAAATAGTAGTGGCACAAACCTTGCAAACCAAGTCCAAATAGCCACAAGTGTGCGTGTCCACATATTTGAGATTTGCTTTTGGTGCTGGCAGTTGATTTTCGTTCAACTTTTTGTAATTGAACATAAAATTTACTGTCACATACAGTGTCTCAAACCAGCATTCACATGTCAATTTTTTTTTAAGTATTCACATTTTTTTTAAGTACATTTTTTTTTTTATAAAAATATTGTTCATGATTTAAACAATACCAAATAAATCAAAGTTTCGAACTTTTTATAAAATTTAGAAAAGTTCAACAATATTTCAGCAAAATTTCGATGTTTTAATGTGCAATTTAAGAACATTTTTGGGTATGCAGTTGATTTTTAATATTTTTTTTTTTGCTGATAGATTTTTGGACATCTTTCCATGTGACATGAATTTGTTTTGAAATATAAAACAAAAGCCGTCACCGAAAATAATTATTAGAGATCTACATAGGTGATTTTTGAATTTGTTGAATTTTTCAAAATTTTTTATTAAGTTCGAAACTTGGATGTACATATGTACATATACAGTTTTGGTTAAAGCATGAACAATAGTTTTTCATTATAAAACAAAATAAAAAAAATATGGGCTAAAAATGTACACAAAGCTTTTATTTACCTTTCAGCAAAAGCTAGAGCAAATTTTTGTTATAATTTGTTAAAAAAAAACACTTAGGTAAAGTCTCCCTTGCCTCATATGGTTTCAATATGCTATGAAATAGTTGTTTGCATTTTCTGGCAACGTGTAAGTTTGAGTTGTGCCCCTTTTGAGGACGGTGTCAGATATGTACGCATTTCATTGGTTCAAAATTGTTAATAAAACGATAGCCTAGTTAATACATATCGTCGTACGTATTTGAAGTTGTAGAAATTATTTTCTCGAGCGTAAAAACACTCTTATTTTTCAAAATGCTTCTCTTTTTTATAAAGCAATCGCATTTCTGGCTAGTATATTTCAGAACGAATGGATAAGGATTGAGCCAAGAGCTTGTGTGAGCAAATCCAATTTTTGGCAGCCAATGTCAGTTACGCGGTTTTGTACTTTAAACGACGATATGTACATATCGTCGGTGATAGTGCAAAAAGTGCTATGTCACTTATTACCTCTGGTGCTTAATTGATCTGTTATCTATATCTGATCGCTTCTGGGAAACGTTCATCTTCATCAGCCAAAGGTAGACAGTTTTTTTCATTCGTTTATTAGGGTGTAACGCTTTGCAGATGCATTCCGGTGCAAGTAAGATACCATCTAAGTGTCAAGAGTATTAATAGACATAGACTGTTTTGCAGTATCACCGATGATAAAATCTTATAATCTTAAGGTTATATTTTATCTTTTTACTATCTTTATTCCTACCTCAACCCTTTTCGTTCTAATATCGATACCAAATCGAAAAAAGGATCGATAATAAAATCTATAGAAAAATATCGATAGCAAAATAAATCAAAATACCGATAACAAAATTAAAATATCGATTACAAAATCGATTATAATATCGATAATATCGATAACCTTGTCGAAAATATCGATAAAAGTGTTCATAAATACATACATATATGTATCAATAACAATATCGTTCTTTTTATATCGATAAAAATATGAATTATTACATCGACAAAAATATCTATAAATAAATCTATAACAAAATCGATTATTATGTCGATAACAATATCGATAAGTATAACGAAAATTCCAAAATAGACTCAAAAATCTCGAAATAGTCTTTCAAATCCTGATTTATTTATGTAGTAGTTCCGAAACTCCGGAAAATCTCATTACCTTTATATAAATCATTC